TAATACGTTAAATTAGTTAAATTGAGTTGAGCTTTAAATTCAGATTTGGAAATCAAAATCTAAAATTGATATTCCTGTTATGGCGCTGGCGGACCACTACATCACTAAGACTATGTTTAAAAGGATACAAGTAACCAAAGCTGGCAATTCGGTCGCTCAAGTGGTCTTATATAGTTGTGATAGCAGTCGAGAGGCACAACTGCAAGGCTGCTATCACAATTCCATTTCTAAACTTTTTTTCAATTTTAATTTAGTCGTTTTTGAAAATTTCTCTTAATTTACACTCTAAATTTAGTACAGTAATTTGAATACTGGTAAATCAATTACGATTTTATTAGTTTAGAAATAATAAGATTACCCTTATACTTTTCTATAAGAATTTTGATAATAATCAATAGTTTCTTAAATATATTTCTCTTTTTAAATTCATATTGAACGATAAGTATTATCGAATTCTCCTTTTAATAAAAATTATACCTAAAATATTTTATTTCTTATATATTATATACTGTGTTTATTTAACATAATACTACTCTAATAAGTAATATTAATACTAATACTACTTTTTTTTATAAGTAGCGCAAAAAATATTTACAAAGAAAACCACCGGCATTATTTCTAATTAAGTTAGTAAAAATTTTAAACAGAATTTAAAAGATTCTTAATAATATACATATTGTATATATCGTCTTATCACGCTAAACTATTTACATAGTCTACCCTGTGGGTATGCGGTGCTGCTTCCGTTCTTAGTCGGTGGGAAAAACCGTACCGTGGCCGGATGAAAACCCTCCGCTTCTCTATTACAACGACGCCGTGTCGACGCCGTGCCTTCGATGTTTATCTTCCTCTCGGTATGACCTCACCGTCATTCCCGAGGCCCGATCTTTGATTCCGCTGCGTGGTCCCCCGACCGTACTCCCACTTTCCAGAATCAAAGATCAATTTGAATTCCCTAGTAGCTCTTCTACTTCCTTCGCTTGTTCGATCTTCACTGCCAGCTTGTACTCCTGCAGTCGTCCCAGTCGCAAAGCCCAGCGAAGGATTCGTTCCGCCCCCGCCACTGTCTCGAGTTCGTCGTGGAGTTATTCAATGTTTGTCGGCCACGTTGGGTCTCCCCATAACCATGTGTCTTCCGTTTCTCTACATTCCAAGACAATATGTTCGAACGTTTCCATCGCTAATTCGCACCGGCAGTACGGTGTTGTCACCTCCGGCATTCTTCTCTCGAAGAGGAACGCCCGTAAGCCTATTTTGCCCGTTCTGATTTGCACCAGGAGTGAGCTCATAGCCTTCGAGAGGTAGTGCGATGACTTCTCATCTGTACTGGGCCATGTGTGGTACTGCAGCGTGGTTCCATCGAACCGCGTACGCGCCTCTGCGGCACTCAGCTTCTTCCTTTTGCTCATCGCCTCGGCCACCCTAACGTGCCACCTCACTATCCACTCTCTCCGAGTTGCCTCTTCCAACCACCGTTTCTTTTCACCCGACGTGGGCTCTCTCACCTCCCCCTGCGGTATCGGGATGTCTTCTCTAGGGGCCCATCGCTCAGCCCACTCAGCCTTCGCTCGGCCGCTGACCGGGGGCAGCTGTAGTTGTCTACCTCTCCTTCTACCCTGTAACTCTGCCGCCATCCAAACTGGCGTTCCTCTAATGAAGGCCGCCGCCGGTGAGCGGGCGAGTCGTTCCTCAAACGCCCTAACCCTTTTGTTGAGGTAGAGGTCGAGGGGTGGGTAGAAGGTTGAATAGTGTAGAGACTTGTACCGTTGAGTGTAACGTTCACTGCAATTGTAGTCGATACTGTACATTTCTGTTCAATTGGACCCCCTGGCTCCTGCGCACTGCACGCGCCCCTATGGGGCTGGCACTCCCGCCTGCAGTCCAGGGGCCAGGGCAGGTTTCCAACTTCCAACAGATGCGGACGTTGAAAGACTGGATGATGTCTTGCATTTGTCCAACCGAAGCAAACCTCCGATCTTCCAACACTTCATCTTCTTTGAGCGCATCCCTGGACGTTGTCGCAAAAACTCTCGTGACCAACGGCAGCGACCAACACACGGCGTCCCGTCGCAACTGAACGCTACGGTCCCCTTCTTCCGACGACGACGAATTCCATATGCGCGGCCAGTACTCAGCCAGTATGCGCCTTCCTTGAAATCTTCAACTCCCGCCCTCCGTCCGTTCCCTATCATCCCGCGCCGACGACGCCTGCCGAACGACGAACATTGCGATTGAACGCCTTTCATCTACGATCACCCCTCCGATGCACTAGCCTGTGTGCAAGTGAACAAACGCCCCGGATCCTGCCTTGTTCGTCCGAAGCGCCACCAACAAAACTTGATCTGAGGTTTGGCCGCATACCCGGGCTGCGCTGCGACAAACACCACATCCCATGCCTCGAGGGCTGGGGACGACATGAGTTCCGTTCGAGCGCGCCGGTCCGAGACGAGATGGGTCACACGATTTATGCCCATCCTTCTAGCCGCCGTTTTCGGTCTGGCAACATACACCACGGCCAAGAGAGTTTGCGGTACGTCCTTGATTTATATTTTTCCTTCATCTCCAACTTCCATTTGGACAGCCGCTCCCTGTCCCCGTGTGATGTCACCCAGCATGTTCCCTTTCAGCACCTATAAATCGGGGCCGACAGGACATGTGGAGCTTCTATATGTTCTGTTTGACTCGGAGCTTTTCCCACTGACTGGAACCCTTTCGTAGTGGATCACTTCCTCCATAGGCGTCAACAAACCAGCGCTGCGATCGCAATCCTCGTCTTCTACTTTGTCACTTTTGTCCTAATGGTCTTGACCTATATTCGACTCTTCCTGGTTATCCATCAAAATCCCGGCGTCGTCGCCCTCGGACAGCGAGCGATATGGCGGCTGGAGAAGGAGGAGAAAGAGAAGCCAAGTTGGCGTCGACACAAGCATAAACAGACCGACGACATAGAGGCCAAACCTTACAGCAATGTTGGACCAGACGAGGACCCTGATAGCCCGGGGCTGGAGTCCTTTTACAGCAAAGACGTTTTCATCTGCGAACCGGACGGAAAACCACGATGGTGTCTCAGCTGTTGCACCTGGAAACCAGACAGGGCGCATCACTGCAGTGAAATTGATCGATGCGTCAAGAAAATGGACCACTATTGCCCGTGGGTTGGGGGGATTGTGGGTGAGACATGTAAGTTCAAAGAGACCACCGAAACACATGATGGCGACCTAGGCTGATTTTTGGGCGCAGCGTTTAAATACTTTATCCAGTTCACGTTCTACGGATCGCTTTGCGCCATTGTAGTTATCACTGCTTGCGCCCTTTGTACGCGACAGCGAATCAAAGCTGGTTACGGCCTCGATGGTTTTGTCATTGCCATGCTGGCTTTAAACGGCCTCCTTGGATTTTTCGCCATAGCCATGTTCACCACATCCACGCGGTATGCGTTCATGAACATGACAAACATCGACTACCTCAAGTCCAAAAACTTTGTACACAATCTCGCCATCCGGGTCCCTAGGGGCACTCAATCTTGTGAAAAGTACAAGGTCATCACCTATCCGATATCGAAACCGGGAGATGCGGGCCCGCAGTTGTTTGGGGAAGCTGGTGCAAGAGGTGCGGCCAGCGAGAGGGATATGCTGGCAACACGCACCTTCGCCATCGTGAAAACCGAGCTGGGTGAGAATCCATGGGATCTAGGCTTCTATCGAAACTGGAAATCCATCATGGGTAACGGGCTTGTAAACTGGCTATTACCTCTCAAGGATTCGCCCTGCGCGACGTATGAGAACAACGAGAGCTTTTACGAAATGGGACCCATATATCAAAGCGTGCGGGAAAGGTTCGGGCTTCCCCCGCTAACCGACGACGAGAAGGGGTTTACCACCTCAAAAACCGAGGCCGGAGCACAGCCTAAGGAGAGGAAACAAGTTAAGAAGCAGGAGCAGGGACAACAGGACCAGATGCATGGGCCGGCGGCAAACTTGTGATCATTGAATCAAATTATCAATCTAGATACCCCCTTTCATTTGTTTATGTACAATTTTTGTTTCTGTACTTTGCTGGCGCTCGGCGAACGGCCCGGCGGTTATGTTTCTTTTTACTCTTGATTAGATACTTTAATGTTGGATTATGGCGAGCACATAGGTATGGTGTTGATCTTACTGTGTCTCAGGATGTGATCATGTTTCATGGCTTCCTTTCTACCCCAAACAAATTTTGGAGCAAGGTTAGGTATTCATCCTTCACAATTCCCCGAAAGATGACCACCCGACTTTTGCAAAATTGCAGCATGATTTGACCATCGCCAATTACATATATCACTTTTAGTCGGCAGAGGCGTCAGTGAGCGTGGTCCCGCACGGCTTATACCATCTGAATGGCAAGTTCATCATGGATTTGTATAGCTTACAGCCGGCAAAATTTTGTGGTCACGATTAGGCTGGCACTCGCTTTTGCCTATTTTGCTATTGGGTTCATGAGTTCCATCATATGTATGTTCCTTGGGCCTGAAAACTAACTGGATGCCGTTGTCTGTGTTCAAGAAAAATGAGTTTTTTCTTCTTTTATCAACCTTTCCTTGCTCTGATATCTCGTAGCCGTTTGTCTTCTTGTGGTTGTGGGTGATCATTATACACAGCAGCTCACATCACTGCCCTCAAGCAGAGCGTCGAGGTTAATTGTGGAATGCAACTTCGGTTAGGATTCTGAGAAAGCCCAACTCTGACTGACATGATCCGGATGGAACAACGGGACACTTATTTGACTGCAACCTCAAGGACAAATGGTAACTGGCGATAACAGAAAACGATGCGTCGTGCGAACCGGTGGTATCGTAGGGTTCATTTGCATCGTTTACCCCCACGTGTGGGATATATGGTAACGCAGTATGTGTCTAGGCGGTGTGTTGTCATTTTGTGATTCCAGATCTCGGTTCTCATGCTGCGTAGAGAGAGAGGGTCAATAAGATTGTAATTTGTCTGTAACTTCGCGTTCGTTCCGTCCCAACGGTAGAATGAAGTCGCCCATCGAGCGTATGATCGAGCATGGACATCTTGGTTTACGACATGTTGCATGTTCACAGCAACCACTTCCTTTTGGCCAACAAACCGTATCCCGTATCTGGCACACATCGTCAAAAACCTGCTGTCGTGAGAAGTGATGTTGATGGCGGTACATGGCCTTTGGTTCTCTTCCCCGCGCAAAAAGTATCCCCAGACGTCCCGAGACGTGACATCGACAGGATTCGTTTATGTAACTCACCCTACCCCCGGCGCCTTACTAGGCAATCTAGACACTGTCGTGTTTCGGCAGAATATGTGGACCGTTCTGACACCTCAACTGGAGCTTCAGGTCAGGTGTATATGTAGTGTATCTCGCATATGCGGGAAGGGGCCCTTTTGGATGAACTGAAAGGTTGGGCTAAACGTCCTCATATCGCGGCTTTATATTTCGTTTTGTTGATACAGTAGAATTTGAGGCGGGTCAAACTGGAAGTCAGTTATAAGATGCCTTCCGTTTTGGTTTGAGGATGCAGACGAAGGGCCACAATCAGATGCTTTTGCAAGTGCAGTTGGTGGTTTTGAATGCACAGCAGGGAGCGCGACCTGCAGGGGTGGGGCTTCCGCATGCGTCAACGTGGGGATCTCATCCACTGATAGGCGCGGATGCATCCGTCCAATCACCCGCTGTGGGGGACCTCCCGGGTTGAACTTCCTCCGATCCTGTCAGCTTCCAAACAGTTTCCACAGGGCAGTCTGGACGCACTGGACTTCGCGGCCATTCTTTTGCTACACCATACCTTAGCGCGCTTTTACTCCGTTCGACGTGATTTCGGCAACTCTCACAACCGCCCGTCGCGACGCCATCTTTATGCACCTCTGTCACCGATAGACGTCTTTCGGCCATCCGCGATTACTGCCACGATTCTGACTGCCGTTGCCGGTCCGCCTTCGTCGCCCGTCCGACCGACCGACCGAAAATGACACCCTTGGCTGTCCACTCCGCCCATACGCTGCCATGTCGTCACCGCTCCATTTGCAGTCATTTCGCGACTCTTCTCCCGCGGGCGCTCCCGGCATGAAGCGCTCACGGTTCACATACCGTCACATCCAGCAGCTCGCCGCCTCGAGCACTTCGTGTCTGCTCAGGGTTATTGCCCACTTGGATCTCGATTGCTTCTACGCCCAAGTAGAAATGGTGCGACTGGGGATACCCGACGACAAGCCCGTTGCCGTTCAGCAATGGTAAAGCCACTCCCTGGCATTGTCCCCCCCCTTTCGGCATCCTCTGACGTCAAACTGACCTCGTATAGGCAGGGCTTAATAGCGGTCAACTACCCGGCTCGTGGTTTTGGCATTGGCCGGCATTGCAACGTGTCGGAAGCGAAAAAGCTTTGCCCGGATCTTATACACCAACATGTTGCAACATGGAGAGAAGGCGATGCCAAGTGGGATTACCACCCGGATGCCGCGGCCAATATGGCGACGCATAAGGTGTCCTTGGATCCTTACCGACTTGAATCTCGTAGGATTCTGGCTATCATCAAGGAAGAACTCCCACCTCATCTCCAAAAGGTGGAGAAAGCGAGCATCGATGAGGTGTTTATGGACCTTTCGGCACAGGTGCACGCCATCCTACTCGAACGTTTTCCTGAGCTTGCCAACCCTCCTCCATACGACGACCCGACCGAGATGTTGCCCATGCCATCCATTACCGCACTCGACTGGCGGGCTGATGCGCTGGTGGACCTGCCAGGCGAGAACGCTGAACTCGAGGATCCGGACTGGGACGACGTGGCTATTCTTATAGGCTCGGAAATCGTGCGCAAGGTGCGCATAGCCATCAAAGATAAGCTTGGATACACGTGCTCCGCTGGTGTAGCCTGTAATAAGCTGTTGAGCAAGTTGGGCTCGGCTTACCGGAAGCCCAACCAACAGACGGTGATTCGGAATCGTTCAGTTCAGCATTTCCTTTCCGACTTCAAGTTCACAAAAATGCGGAACCTTGGCGGCAAGCTGGGCGAACAAATCAGTCAGATCTACCACACAGATACGGTCAAAGATTTGCTGGGTGTCTCGGTGGAGCAGCTGAAATCAAAATTAGGCGATGACACGGGGGTTTGGGTCTACAACACCGTGCGTGGTATCGACAACAGCGAGGTGAACCCGCGCGTCCAGATCAAGTCGATGCTGTCGGCCAAGTCATTCCGCCCAAGTATCGCCACCTTTGAGCAGGGTGTTAGATGGTTACGTATCTTTGCCGCTGACATTTTCTCTCGGTTGGTTGAGGAGGGCGTTCTGGAAAACAAGCGGAGGCCGAAGACTATCAATCTCCATCATCGCCACGGCACCCAAACCCGATCACGTCAGGGTCCTATCCCTCAAGGCCGTAAGCTCGACGAAGAGACTTTGTTCGAGCTGTCCAGGAACCTGCTAAGTCAGATTGTTGCCGAGGGTCAAGTTTGGCCATGTTCCAACCTTAGCCTTAGCGTCGGAGGATTTGAGGATGGTGTCACTGGAAATATGGGCATTGGCGCTTTCTTGTTGAAGGCCGAGGAGGCTCAGGCAAGCAAGACGGGGGCACGGACCGCGATGGCTGATCCTGAAAATGAGATCCGCCCGGCAGAGAAGCGGAGGCGTCTGGATAACGGCGGGATAGAACGGTTTTTTGCGAAGAGAGAATTATCCCACGGCGCTAATTCTGGGTTGGGCTCCGACGATACAGCCATCAGTGGTCAAAGCGGTCAAAGGTTGGGCATCCTGAAAGAGGAGGTCATGTCAGGTGAGCCGGCCGGTTCAGAGGGGGTGGACAAAGCCGATGAGGTATATAACGGGAATTCTGAACCAGAACCCGGCCCAATCATCACATTGACGTGCTCGCGATGCAACGCCAGCCTCGATAGCCCCGAGGAACTGCAAAGCCATCAAGACTGGCATTTTGCTAAAGAGCTCCAAGAACAAGAACGTGTCAGTCAGACATTCGTCAATCAACCATCAGCATCTAGCTCGCGTGTCGACAATCAGAAATCCACAAGCACGACGCCGAAGCGACAAGGTAGACCGAAGAAGGTCGAGCGTGGGCAAAGCAAACTCAAGTTCGGTTAAGAGGCTACTGCGATTTTCATGACACGGCGCCCTGATAACGGCATAGCGACATGAGTGCACATGTGGAGAATTCGATGCATGAATCCACAACACGCCGTCTGATATCAAAAAGTGCCTTTGGCTGAGCTATCCAAGTTTGCACATGCCGTCCTCCACAAAGACGGCTCGCTCTTCAGCTGCGCGACGGGATTGACTACGACATCTCATCAGAGCCTGCGTTATAGCGGTGACTGAGATCCCAGGGACAAACCAATCAGTGCTTGGTCAGATCCACGATTCTCTTCTGGCACTCAATGGAGGGTAACGGGTCGGCAGTCCCGCTTCCGAATATCTCGTGAAGCACATTTTCTCGTTACATGGCAGCCGAATTCCATGGGCAGGCTATCAAATCCTTGGGTTCTTGAACCGCGTCCCCCGAAAGATGTAACTCCAATCTGCGTACAATGAGTTCAGCTCGTGAAAGTTGGAGTCGATTTCCTAACATATCACTGGCAGCTTTAGAAGTTTCAAGGGACTTCCACGAATGGATCGTCTGATTGTCATGGCAAATTTGAACTTTGACGGGAACAAAAGAGCATACAAGACAAACAGGCACAAGATGCCGTCAATGGTCTCTGAACTGGCGGTTGGATACTCGTCATGATGGGGGTTCCTGTCTGACAAATTGGCCGACACGGCATGTATCCCTTTGTTTTGGTACATCAGAATGGAAATACGATGCAAGAGCATGTTCTGCACTGAGGTTGCTTGCCAATGTGGGAAGAGAAAAAGGCAAATTCGGTCATAATAACTCGGGACAGTGAGCGTGCTCAGAGCCAGACGGTCGCCTTGTCGTCGAGCTTACATCCTCACCACCCGAAGTGTCGGACGAAGCTGATTGGCTGCGGGAGACCCCATCTCATGCGGCAGTTTGCGGCGTTGCAGAGAGGTTGGGCTTCCAGACTCCCAGACGCATTGATACCCGATTGTTGCCAGAACCCGCCCGTTCCCAGACCCCATTGCTCCCCCATTGCGTCTCCATCACGAAGCCCACCAGAAAGTATCCTGACGCAGCTCTTTTACTAGCCCAATCTGTCTTCAATGCATTTTAACCCGCGTGGAAGAAGCGACGGCATGGGCATGATTCGGTAGGTCATACTCGGCACATCCCACACATGCGACGACGGCGACCCATCAGTATCAAGAAACCATGGTGGACGCTCAAATTCTTGTACGCACACACACGTCACGGCGACAAGCGACTCTTCCATCCATGTGTCACCTTCAAGCCTTCAGCCCGTTAGCCAGCACTGTCTGGCGCATGGGCCGGACCCTTCAACTTTGGACGATGAGATTGGTTGTCCATCTCTGTCATCCATCACTATAGGTTTAGCCGCCTAAATATTTAGAGCCATGTGGCAGTGACTCTGCGAAGACCACCTCCATTCTACGCACGATATTCAGGTCCATCCGTAGACGACCTCATGGCACCACAGTAGACATTTGAGGCCGCCTTGTTCTCTGTGTATAAATCTGAAGTGTCTCCAAATGACATCAACGATTTTCGTGGTATGATCTTTCGACGAATGACTTTTATCTGGATTTTAGGCCTTCATTGTCTCCCGCATTCAGCTATCTTTGCGCACCGGGCCTATCTCAGATTTTGCGCCCTTGACGCCCAAATGGGTCACCGAATATCCACTACCAAAACAGCGGTGTTCCTTGCGTTCACCTCAACGCCTGGAAAATCTGCACAGTACGGTGTCGGCAGCGCTCCGTGTCCGTTTCTTTCATTGACTGGTACGAGTTACCACCAAAGATTGACGCCGTGCGGTTGAATTGATTGACACCACACCTCCGCGTGCGATTTTGACGTTTCCACAACGGCCCCCAAGCCAATAGAGCCCTCAGAATGGAAGAGTCTTAAAACAACACCAGACCTCTGACTGTTTGCACAACTTGGCAGTTGGCACCAGTCTAGAATGCCGATTATCCCTTTAGCGGTGAAAAAGGCCACTTTTGTACCTCCAGGAATGTCGACCCAATGGATAAGTCTTGATAACCCAATGCTACCCTTTCAGTACTTCTGGTCACTCGGCAAATAATACCAATGCCTCGCTGTAGCAACCAAAGCTAGCGACTGAGATGTTAGTCCAAGAGTCCCTCAAAGCTGATGTGGAGGAGGTACAAAAGTGGCCTTTTTCACCGCTAAAGGGATTGAGGCCCAAATGATCCCAGGCGCAAAAGCGCACTTTGGCAGGTGACGGCGTTGAGCCAGGTCGCTCCTAGGTACCAGGTGCACCTTTTTCACCTATGTATAGGTAGGTTCGCTCGCCAAACAAAAACCCGGACGCCCGCTAACGGTTATTGCACGCTTGTTTGGTGCTGCAAGCGTACCGTAGCCGTACAACTGACCCTCCGGCTTAATTTTTTTGGGAGCGAGGTAGGTATCATGCCAGCGATTCCATTATCACCTGTCGACAATGGAAAAATGCGATTTTCGACCTGAAGCGATTCTGAGCATGCCTCCCACCCCACAGGCTTACAACCCAACGCTTGCCAATCTTTACACCGCACTTTTTCCCATTTCTCCTAAACCTGTACGCCTTTGTGTCTTCCATCAGCACTGTCATCGCCCATTACTCCATCAAGCGCCGTATCGACTCGCTTTTCAGTGGTTGGCACGACTGCCTCTTTCGCTTGCTGCAGCCCCTAAAGGCAGCAGCCCACCTCGGAGCCCTAGAGCCAACCAACGTCTCGCACGCCTTTCTCCCGAGGTCGTCCTGGCCGGTGAAGAAAAGGGGAGAAACATGGAAAAAGGGAGGACACGGGTACTATAAGATAAGCTGTGTCATATCGTTCCACTGGCTGTTCATGTGCACAAACTGCTTTTCCTATTAAGCCTCACTTGACATCGTGGTTTGCTATGCTCGGCTGTGCTTGGCCACAGTTGTTAAGTTGATTCGGCCGCCTTGTTGGCTGAGTATGGCTGCCATCCATCCAAAGCCGTCTTTCACCATTCAGCATTCGCCGTGGTCGTTGTTTTAGGCCGCCCTCCTGTGGCAACTATAGGTTCAACGATACATTAGCGCAACCCGCTCCCATTGGCAGACACGAGGTCCCTACCGCCATGGATCCAGAAAACCAACCCTGGCAACAGGACCTTCTGGTGCTGCCTCTCGACCTTCTCAAGCCCCTCACTCTGGAATTGAGGTTGCTGTCACCCCCATCCCATCTGCAAGGCATTCCGTATTCTGGCCGATCCGGTTGGTGTCAGTCAGCTTTTCGTCCGCTCTTTTTGGCTCATGTTCCTGCTGCTCGTGCTCGTTGTCAGCAGATGCCCTTGCTGCCCTGCGGATTCCGTGCCCCATGCTCCATCAGAGTTCGGCCTAGTGTCACCCACAATTCTCCATTCCCCATTCTCCATTCCGAATCCGTTCTCGCTGTCGATGAGCGAGACGCCGAGAGACGCAGGAGAGGACCCGATGCCTGGGTTCGCATCGCATTTGCATCAGCAAGCAAGCAGCAATCACAAACTCGGGTACAGACCGCGGAGCAGCAGTGTCCTTACAGAAAGGTGCCTCGTGTAGCTCGCCCGGTCTGCTGGCTGTTTGGGTAGCGTAGCTTAGGTACTAGCCTTGTCTAACTGCCTGCCCAACGTGTTACATACAAACATAGGACGGGGTGACGGGGGGCGGACGCTCTCTCCAGCGTACGATATACCAGACTACGTACCAAAGACCCAGGCAGAGAGTCAGTCGTGTTGCCGTCGCAGGCCGGCTATCAAGCTCAGCGCCGAATTGCAGTGTAAGCCGGCCAGTCTGGTCACCTCCACTCACTCATTTTTCCTATCTTTTTTCCCGCCTGTCCACGGGTTGTTCTCCGGTTACCTTTAGACTAGTATCCAGTCCAGGGCTGAGGGTACCTGCTGGAAGTACCTACCGCTGCCAGGCCCAGCCAGGTTGCCAGGAGTGCCTCAGTTCTTCCATCCCACCCACGCAACCACGGCGGCCCACTTTGGCACAACCTAAACTCAGCCAGGCGTCCATTTCTTCCCGGCCTCCCCTCTTTCTCGTTCATCCCTTCTTCCCAAAATTCGGACTCTTTTCCCCCCTGCCTGCTGTCCCATCATCGGTCCTCCACTTGCAAGATCCTTTTTCTCACCTCACCTCCATACCTCTTGTCCAGAACGCCGTTTCGGTTGCTGGTTTTATTGATCTACAATCGCCATCATTGTTTTTGTTCTTCGGACCACTACGCCCTTTCCGCAATCAACATGGCGGCAAGACCGGGCAACAGGCCAGCTCAGGCCCCTCAGCCCTCGACTGCGCGCCAGAACGAATACTTCGTGCCTCGTGACGGTATCGACCGCGAAGTCATCACCTCCGACATCTGCAGGTATCTCGGAAACGATGCACTTGTACGCCCTGGAACCTACGAGGTACGCCCCTTCGACCGAGATTTTCTTTCCTCTTCCGCCTCAATCCACTTAAGCGTGGTATCGTGAGGGACTGTCGCTTACAGCTGCTCGCCTCATAGTCACCAGACGGCCGTGTGACCCAAGGCTACTTCATCACCGCCTATCGCAATCTGACATCGGTGAGTCCTCGAAGCCCAGCTCGCGCACAAGCTTGCGCGTTAGCAAAGACTTGATGCTAAACAAGGTGGCTCTGCAGGCAATGATTCAAGACCTAAAGGCAGACTCTGCTCGATGGGAGCAAGAGAGACGTGCTGCGTCCAGGTCAGGTGGTGGCACTGGAGGTACAATACACTCTAGCCAGCACAATGGCTCAACGTTTGTGAGAAGCTCTAACTCGCCCACAGGCCAGCGCGAGCAGAACCGCGGGTCCTCTGACTACAGCACATGGAAGAACCGCCAACGGGAACAAGAACACTACGATGCCTACGCCAGGGACAATGCCATGGATGTTGACTATCCCCCACAGCCAAGCGCTCCCAAGAACCCGGTTTACCCTCCGCCGAATGCGTACCCAGGACCGCCCCAGCCAGGTCCTCCTGCTTATCCGCCCGTTTCGTATACGCCCCAGGCCGCCGGTATTCCAGCACAGTATCCTCCTCAGCCATACCCTCCGTACCCGACCAACCCTCCCGCTCCTCAGTACTCGCCTGGACCTCCCAACACCGGAGACAGATACCCTGGCATGGCGGCCCCTCCTCCTATGCCGGCTGGCGGCTATGGACAAGTTGGACAGGAAGCTTCCTACGTGATGGGCTCAGATTACCGGACACAGCCGAACTATGTGACGTCGGAGCCTCCAAGGATGGCGCCTCACCCTGCGGTCTCTTCTGCTGCCCCAGTCAGGACAATGTACGCTCCCACCAATGGCGCTCCTGGCTACCCACCAGCCCCGGATCAGTACTATGGTGCACCAGTTCCCGGAAGTTCGGCCACTCAGGCTTACTCTGCCGATCCTCTATATGGCCGTGGTGGTGCGTATAATGTGGCAACAACGAACCCAGCGCAGGCTTCATCTGATAATCTAGGCTCCCCCGCAGGTCCAACGCCAACACGGCAAGGGTACGGTCACATTCCAGAGCCCCCGTTTGATAACCACCAGGCCCCTGTCATTCCTCAGGTCCCCACGTCAAACAGTAGTACACCGGCCCAGATGGCAGGCAGCGGGCCGTCACCTGCCCCGCGCCGAAGTCCCGGTCGCGACTCGGAGCCCAGGGAACGAGAACGGGATCAACATCGCAATCGCCGCCCGGAACAGGAACGTGACGACAGAGATCGTGCCAGGCATCGGCAACACCGCTAATGGCTAGCGACACGCAGGTCTTTTTGACTTTGACTGCCCTAGACTTGCCCGTCGCAAGACGTTGGAGGTCTTCTGGGCTGTTATTAATGCTTTGCTAATACCTCGGAACCTGGAGTTCTCTATTATTTCTGTTTCATTGTCTCATACCAGGATCCCGGTTACTTCAGCCTGATAATGATCTGATCCACGGATAGACCCAGGATAAAAAGAGGTGCGCGGAAACCTCGAGAGCTGCGAGTTGCATCTCTGGAAGTTTGGATTATGACAATGCTCCGGCGGCGCGACTTTGATACAGCAACGGTCATTCCCTCACGGTACCTGCATCCCTGGATTATCGGCATTTCTGTCCTTGGTTTTTCACCAGAACACGGATTTTCTGGTGCCTACAAAACAATCTGGACTCCGGCAACCTTGCAGACAGCTGCCGCATTGGATGGTGGTGCCGTTGCTCGAGTTTTCTTTGCGATTAATGTTTCGGGTTGTTTGATTTCCTTTTTCATTTTCCTTTTTTGTTCTCGCTTTGAGAGACTAGTATGGAGAGATGCATTATACCACGGACCGGGAAACTTCACTGGATTTGGGAAAAAAAAGAAGAGCGACTCGAGGTTCTGGCGTCTTTGTGTGTAGTGGATACCGGCCTTTCCTCTCCTTGCTGTCCGGAATGGCTCTCGGGATAACGTCCTCGTCCTCCTCTCGAGGCGTGTTTGCGTCTAACCTTGAAACCATTCCACCCCCGGGATCAGGAGTCTTCCTTAGCTGACAATCTCCCGAGTCCTGAAAACGGATTCGCCCTCTTCACCGACCGGAAGATCTAAGCCATAGGACGGACAGCAAGGTGAGTAAAGCCTCTGGAAGAGTGTATATATCATTGACCCCTCGGACCGCAATACGGTACTCCAATTTCTGACCAAGGCTTGCACTCCATGATCTGGACAACCTCATGTTTTGTTTTTGAGATAACTGACCGAACACAGGCTGAATCAAGGAAACAAGGTTCTTTTTTTCTCTGTTTGCTGGAACTCCTGCCTGGATCAACCATAGTTGGCCGCACACAACGGATTTTCCCGGGTTTCGTTCGAGCCATGGCACCCCAGCTCGCCCCGGAACTGCCACTGATCTCACCTGGGATTGTCTTCCTGATATTTGCCCGACTTTTCCGTGGACTTCCTGGACTGAGTTTCGCTTTTGGCTTGCTAGAATGGCCTGCCTCATACTGTGAGGCGCCTTCATGGCATGTCTCTGGACCTCGGGTTGTCCGTTCGGACGCCCTTGACGAACATGCAATTATCAAACATCAACTACGGTAAGGCGCAACACGGACTTTACATTCTACGGGACGGGTTCCTCTATTTCAGCCATGTGGAAGTATGTCGACCAAGTATCACCAAAGAACCGCGGGTGCCCCATCGTCAATGAGATTCTGCCAACAACAAGTGCACATGACAAGGGACCAGTTATGCCTATCTGTGGTTTTCGCAAGTCAAAAACCCAAATGGAATTCGCCATGTTCGCCCAAATAGCTCGATGGCAGCTATTTCTTTCCGTTTCTGTTTGATCCCAGGAGACCAGCATTCAAATCAACCTCGTGCGCTGCACAACTCGCAATACTTGCATCGGACATCAGTCGGAAGGATTCGCAAGCTTAGACCAGTGGACATGGCCATCTCCATCTTTCCGCAGCAGTCGCCAACTTTGATACCTTTCCGTCAGCACTACGGTAAGATGTCCATGTCATCAGGGCCCTTCATTCACGGCCAATTTTATTTTGGACGAAAACGCCATCCGGGATTTCATGCAGGTTCTTCCTTCACTCCCAGCTGGATTACTTGTTATCATTGCCACCGGATCATCATCACCATCATCATGACAACTTGAGCAGCCCAGGTCGACTGCCGTCAAAGTCATCTTCAAGGCGGTGAATTCTGGAACACATTGTCTCACACTTGAGATGAGGCATTTCGAATGAACGCCATCTGTTAGTCAAACATTTTCTTCCGTCATTGAGATCTCGCCTTCTCACCCGTATTCGTTCGACAGGTACTAGTTGCCGTCCTATCGGAAGGTGAACCCAAACTAACCAACAACCTTAACGCAGAGATCCAATGGGAGGGTTTCTTCAGAGACTTCACGCCTCTTTTCTTGTATTGTGCATATCGCTCGGAGTTACTGGTTTCATAAGCGTTTTCATGGGAGGTCATAGGTCACATGTATCTTCTGTATAATAATTCAGCCGTTATGGGTTCGACATTGTGAAGGGAAGAAGGATTGAACGAGGGGCATATGCGCGCACGGCTTTGGTTTACCGAGTCTAACGACGGTAGGGTATAGAGTTTTTTGGAGTCTGTTGTGTTGGGAAGGACAATCAAAGAAGTGTCTGACAATTGCATTGCTGTTCCCCCTTTTCAATGTAAACACGGTATATAACGTAAAGCACGGAATCCGCTCTGTGTCCGTACTGCTCTCCTCGCCGATCGCTGATCCTGAGAGACTTGGCTGGTGGACTTCCTTGCCAAAATAAAGGCGGTTGGGGAGACGCAGGGGAAAATGAAAACGTGCAAGTACCTTATTCCGGTTCTTTTTACTTCTACATGTAGGTAACTGGGGTTTGCATGGAGCCATTTAGACGCAGGCAAAGCACAGCATTTTCCACGACTGGTGGTGTACTACTGTAATGCCTTTCTGTTCTTCTGTTCATACTGTACGATGCAATAGCGTCCGGTGCAGCGAGAAAGCATCTCTGGGGCCCTGACTGCCTGACCTCAATACGTGCCGTTACCCTTCATCCCAGGCGAGCCCGTGAGTCTGTAGGTCATCGAGCACTACAATGTAGGTACGCGTTATAAAGCTCAACGTCTTGCCTGGTTCTTTATATACACTAGTCATCTACCGCGATGATGATATCGACGTTTTTCCAGTATGACTCAAAGTGCAGTCATATGTTACCAAAGTCGAGCGAGGACCAGTTTTGTAAGAAGCGCCAATCACGGCCAAGAGACGTCGAAAAGGGAGGAAGAATAAGGTAAGAAGTGAGATGACGGGGTGGTTGGTGAATCGGTAGTGGTCGGTTCATTCCCTACGGTCGGTCAGTGGTCACCGCTTTTGCGGCATGGCTTTTGCTGCTTATTCCAGGTCGCGGCGGCAGCTGGCAAAGAGTGGGTGAGAGTGAGACCGTGAGACAGCGAGACTGGTGTTTATCTTGCCTTCTTTGTTGATAGTTTTCGTCGTTGCGTTAACACGGCATCCAGACAAATAGAGCCTGAGGGCAATGTCGCCGCTCTCAGTGAAGTGTCTTTCTTGACTACGTTGCTGCACCAAGTAATGGCGAGGGGATGGCTCAGGTTGGTAACAACTAGCAAGACCACGCACGGCACATGGCTCGCGCGTGGGAATAGTTGACGACGGTAGGGCGAAAAGGTTCGACTGCCAACCACACCACGTATATACGCTTTTGGTGTACTTTGGCTTGCCACGACCGGCCCAGGATACAAGCATCGCACACGTCTGAAGGTCTTATAGTAGATATACTTGTTCCTTGAGTATCTATCGAGGTCTGTCCATTGAGGTACCGCAAATGCCCCGAGAACGGCACTTTAGAACTAGCCTTTGCATGGCGGCATGGCCTTGGTCCAGCGCCTGTGCCTGAACGTGCCCCCGTCCGTCATCAACAGCCAGTCATGCGATCCCCTCGCGAAGCTGATGTTGACTCTGGTGACCGACCTGCTAAGTAGAAGGGATTGGTTACTCTTTTCCGACCTCTCTCACAACGCAAAACAAATATCATATATAAGAAGCATCAACTTCATTGTAGACAACTCGTGAACATGGGGTTTTGAGACGCAAGGTGGGTTCGAGGGTTTGTTAGTAGAAGTGGGTTTATTGTGGGGCGTCAAAATCTTGTACATAGCGCCGAAACCATGACCCGTTTGGCGATATGAACGCCCATGATGGCTTCAATGTCAGGGACGATTTTCCTTCTGCATGGTCAAAGAAAAGGCTGGTGAAAGTCTAGGACTGTCATTCCCACGGCAGTGTACGGAATTTCTGCTGATGCCCTATTATCTGGAGTGTACAATCAGTAGCAACGAACGGATTCTTTCGTCCTTTCCGTACCGGCAATTTCACCCCAGGGAAAGAAAAAGATTTGACACGACTCCACGAGATCAAATCCCATCGACCTCAAAACATTCCGCAGGACGACCCCTGGCAACAGGCGAAAGGCCGACTGCAAAGCAGGACCCAAAGCCAGGTTGAGCAACGAGGACCCTCCTGGTTTGACAACCAGTGTAAAACTTGGGAGCCAGACAGGCTCCTGTTAGCGTAGAAACCGCTAAAAAGCCCAAGCTGACGTCCCTGGCTTCCATCCCGTTTTATGGAGTTTGTTCCTGGCCCTGAGGCCCTCCACCGCAGCGGTTGACAGACCCGTGATTGACAACCCGCACAGACAGCACTTCACTAGTGGAGATATGCCCGTGCTCTGATTGTTGACATAGAGGTTGCAGGTTGACCGACGTGATGCTCCTTTGCCCCTGATGCGTCTCGAAGAGGCGTGCGTTTTGTGTTAGGATCGAGAAATGCTCACACCATTAACCCCAATGCCTCCAACTCTGCCTGCTATAACCCGGAAAACGTGCTGATAATGCCCCGCCCATTTGCGATTTTCACGGCAGCCGATTCGTCATCTCCCGCCAGCCAAAAAGGTAGCAGGTACCAAGCGTCTCCAGTAGGTAGCAGCGATACCACGAGGGACCAGCTTGTGGCCCAAATTTTTTTTACGCTAGTTTGGCAAGACTGTGCACGCCCCTCAACCGCAACAACTTCAACCCCGTCTCCGGCTTTTTGTTTTGCGATTTTGTTGCCTGCCACCAAACCCCCCCATCTACGCACTCGCCCTCCCCGGATAGGTGTGTCCGTGTTGATGCGAGAGTCCGCCAGAATTTGACCGTCAACGAAGTCACCTCAAGATGGATGCGAACGCCATTCGAAGTTGCATCGTCGCGACCCTCGACGCCGATGCCGACGTTCGTCGGAGGGCTGAACTCCAGCTTAAGCAGGTGCGTGTGTAGCCGTCCTCCATCATCATCAAACCCCGTCCAAGTCGCCGTCCGACCACCTCGAAAAGACTCCGGCCCTTCAGTGTAATCAGCCCCCAGTCCGACTATGAGCCCGAGTTTGTCGTTCCATGACACAACAACGCCGTCCAACATAGCAACGCCTCGTAGCCGTCGTCGTGGCCACGTGCTTCACCCACCCAGCCGTCCGCGCCCGACATCCATTTCACGAGCACACCCTCGACTTCTGATCACCACCCCGCTTCCACATGGACATGAGACTACGAACAACAGGAGCGTTGCTGACATTAAGTCTTCACTTCAGGCCGAGCAACAAGTCGGTTTCACCGATGTCCTCTTGGACCTCCTCCAGACAGAGCAGGATGTGAACCTGAAACTTTCAAGTATGTCTTGCCAGTTCGCTTCCCTACACGGGCTCTTATAGCCCACTTCACTTGGTGCAAGCGCTCACGTCCTCTCTCTCTAGCCGTTATTTACCTTAAGAACCGAGTCAACCGCGCCTGGCAGCGCTCCGACGATTACCCCCAAGAGGCGGTTTTGGACGAAGATGCCAAGGAACGCTTCCGCAACCGGTTATTGCCCATTCTCGCCAGCTCCGAGACTCTGGTCCGCCACCAGCTGGTCCCTATTCTACAGCGCATCTTGCACTTCGACTTCCCCGAGCGATGGCCGACCTTCATGGATTACACCGTTCAGTTGCTCAACGCCAATAACGCCCCCGCTGTCCTGGCTGGTCTGCAATGTTTGCTCGCTATCTGCCGGTCTTTCCGCTACAAGATGAGCGATACCGATAACCGTGCGCAATTCGAAAAGATTGTCGAAGTCAGCTTCCCAAGATTGTTGGCCGTCTGCGATGAGTTGGTGAACCAGGATAGCGAGGAGGCTGGCGAGATGCTACACATTGCTCTCAAGGCGTACAAGCATACTGCCTGGGTGAGTTCTCATGTCTACTGGAAACATGGTAACAGGATGAATTGCTGACTGGGTCACTATAGCTCGAACTCCCCCCCTGCCTCCGCGAGCAGTCCGTCAATCTTGGATGGTGCACCATCTTCCTCCGTACCGTATCTAAGCCGATTCCCGCGAGCGCTATGCAGGACGACCCGTTGGGACGTGAACGCCACCATTGGTGGAAGGCAAAGAAGTGGGCATATTTCAACCTGAATAGGTTATATATCAGGTAAGAAGTTATGATGTTGCATCTTCCATGCTCTACCGGGTGCACAACTCCGAGACTGACCCTATCACAGATACGGTAACCCTCATAACATCATGGAGAAGGGAGCCGATGGTCAGTTGCTCCAGTTCGCCAAGAACTTTATCGCCCAGGTTGCTCCCGAAATCCTCAAGCACTACCTTGCTGAGATCGAGAAGTGGGTAGCCAAGACCGTCTGGTTGAGCCGGCCGTGCTTGTCGTACACTCTCGTCTTCCTTGACGAGTGCATTCGTCCCAAGGAGATGTGGACACATCTTAAGCCTCACCTTACTAATTTGGTCACTCATTTCATCTTCCCTGTTCTCTGCCTTTCGGAAGAGGACGTGGAGAACTTCGAGGAGGAGCCGGAGGAATACCTGCACCGCAAACTCAACTTCTTTGAGGAGGTCTCCGCGCCCGACGTTGCCGCTGTTAACTTTTTGGTGAGCCTTACGAAGGCGCGCAGAAAGCAGACGTTCGAGATTCTCAAGTTCGTCAACGAAGTCGTCAACCAGTATGAACAGGCGCCAGAGGACCAGAAGAACCACCTGGCAAAGGAGGGTGCGCTGCGCATGATCGGAACTCTTGCTCCGGTTATCTTGGGCAAGAAGTCCCCTATTGCCGACCAGGTGGAATACTTCTTGGTTCGCTACGTTTTCCCGGATTTCACCAACCCTCAAGGCTTCCTCAGAGCCCGTGCTTGCGACACCATCGAAAAGTTTGAGCAGCTCGACTTCAAGGACCAGCAGAACCTTCTCACCGTCTACCGTCACATCCTCGACTGCATGGCCGACCCCAAGTTGCCGGTCCGTGTGACCGCTGCTTTGGCCCTGCAGCCCATGATCAGACATGAGATCATCCGCACCAGCATGCAGCAGAACATCCCGACCGTTATGCAGCAGCTTCTCAAGCTTGCCAACGAAGCCGATATTGATGCCCTCGCTAATGTTATGGAGGA